TTTTTTTTTTTTTTCTTTTTCTTTTTGCTGTGTTACACTCATGATGTTTTCTTTTTTCTGTAGGCTATATGTATATGTACTTTGTCTCGCTCTCGTCTGACCTTTATCTGAACTATATTTCTCAACTCGTATAGTTCGGATTTTGAACACTACCTACATACCAACACTTGTTTTCACTATGTGACCTCTACGGTTCTGGTTTCCTATCCAGAGGCCTCGTAAGCGATAAAAATCAAGTATTATCTTCTGTCGCCAATTTCGATTTCACTTTCGACGGTGCCGGTCTGCGTTAGCCCTGATGTCAACTGCGAATTATAGTTCCAGATATATATATATTCGATGATCACCAAAAATACAGCCTCTACCAACAAGCACCTCGCTCTGCTCCCTGCTCGTTCTCCAAGGGAAAGAAGAAAACGACCCAGTGTTGTGAGCTTACTCAAGTATATGGGTTGGTTCTTTCAACGAAGACCGAGAGAAGATGACTCAGGGTTGTGTGGGGCCCAGCAGCAAATGGACCATATGAGGCTTGGAGTTTGTATTATACCACAATTGTCGTGTGTTGGGCTTCAAGTATAAGAAATTTCCTACACTTTCTGGCATTTATGCTATGGTTATGCGACACTAGATCTCGGGGTTACTTGCTTTGACGTCGTGGTGGAAATGGATACGTCTTATATATACTTCGCTTCACTAGCCAAATCTTACTGCTTCAAAGTGAGAAGTGGATTTTGTCCACCAAAGGGAAAACCCATGGGAAAACACAGCATGGTATTTCTGTCCCGTCCTGGGTGGTTTTTACGACTGGCTTAGAGAGCATCGGAACCGAGAGCAAGTATATATCACTATAATCTACAACATACTACAACAGCGTCTAGGTTTGTCAAAGACGAATTAGGGTTGGTGGGACAAAATATGCCTTGGGCGCTTTGGTCGATAGATGACTGATTCTCGAACAGATATCGTTATTAGGATCCGACAGATGCCTACGAAGTGGCTCTTATTATTTTTTAAACTGGTGGAACCACTAATTCACTGTTACTTCTCAGAAAGCTCTCTATCGACGCAACTGACGCCTGATGACCCCGGGTAGAACACCATGTTCGTCAATTACCAGGGTTTCCTACCAAACCCCCTGGTCTGATCGAGTCATTTATATTTCACCTGTTGAAGCTATCGAACAAGTACCTGGGAGTCAGCAGTTGCGTCTTTAACACCGCCCTAGAGAATGACTTATTTATTGCCGGTTGCGGTATCTTATACAGACAACACCCGAAGAATGCTGGAAGGTGCGCAGATGCAATCCACCCAAAAATGTGAGTCTTTATACCTTGACTTAACCAGCGTCTATAGCGGCACTGTTCTCTATCTACTTGGACCTCCAAGGAAGCCCCATTCGGTGTTCTCGTTGCTAAAGGATGATTGCACGTCTCACATACTGCAGGTCTTCACGAACCAAGATCGAAAAGAGATGCCATGATCAGCCGTTTACCAGCACAGCTTACTATATATATACCTTCCTTTCTCCTCTGGACACCCATGTCAGTACTGTCTGGGCTACCATGCGCATTGCTGACCTAACGGGGTGCTGATATCACATGGCACCCCCTCGGGGGTTCCAAGAAGCAAAGATGCAACACCTACTGTTGTGCCTGCTGACTGTCAAAAGGCATTTTAACATATAATATTACATGCGTCAACCGACTGATTGTGCAGAATGTTGTGAAGGATTATTCGCAATTCATCGTGTCCACCATGCTACAAAGAAATACCGCGGGGTAGCTCAAAAGATGTCAGCGGTCCTTGTTGTTTTTGTTTCCTTAATGCCGCTCGAGGAGTTGGAGAGCCCGAAGGAACGTGTTTTGGGGGCTTATAGGTTTAATGACTCTTTATGTCGGTCTCCTGGCTTCTCTTCCGCGTCGATCGTGTACAACATATCTTGCCATATAATAAGTTGCAACTCTTGGCCAGCAAAAAGAATATCGCCTAACAGTCACTCAAAATTACCGGATGAGGGGTCCAGAGAGGTTTTCAATTATGAGAAGCATGACAAGGCTATTAAGCGGGCTCTTGATGCCGGCTTGCTTCATACCGGAGAACTATCGTCAATCGACTCTCAGTCCTCTTAATATAAATGACAGAACGCGATACAGTCCTCCTCGACAAAAGGACCCATTACATAGGCTCCTTAAGCCCAGGCTCTCGATCCTGAAGTCTGTTCGACCAGCCAAAAAAACCAACATCTCGTACGGCGGAAATACTTGGACAAATTTTTGCGGGACACTGCATCATCATGCCGTTATCGCTCGTCCTATTCTATGACCTTCATTTAGCCTACCGAGGTATTTATAGGAAATTCCAGTGGCTCTATCCAAAGCCCATTCCCCATTCTTCATAGTAGATGGCTGACATACAAACAGAGAATCATCAGGATTGAAACTACTCTCTCTGCTGATCATTCCGGATTGCCTCTACGAAAGCCTATATTCTGCCTCCTAAGAGACTTTAACGCGCTTGCCCAAGCGTGCAGACATTTTTATACCCTTGTCAATCTTGCTCTCTACAAGGAAAATCCCAAAGCCAGTGCAGTATTTCTGTACCATTCAAAGATGCAGCACTAAAAAGCATGGTTCAGTATTGCACTATCTGGGCCATTGTTTTTGCTATGAAGTTAAGGAATACTACCAATGGTTTTCATCCTATGTCTTTGGAGGCAATAAGCGTTGTGCATAGCACGGCGAATTGGCAGATCTGTCCTGCCTCGTCGTTTTGGAGCAGATGAAACTGATGATCTCATACATGTTTCTGAGCTGTATGAAATCTGGCAACCTGTCGGATGGGAAGTGACACAACGGGTACTACAAGAGATGAACAAGCTGAACTACATCACGTCGCGTGCGTGTGTAGTTGAGTTAGCAGGAATTTTCTCGACTCCCTCCAGACTAAGCCTCGGATCCATGCTGAATACAATGCAACCTTTTATGAATATTAATATGTTTTCCTCTTTCTATTTTTTTCCGCTCCATGATCATCCATTTATCGAGTCTTCTGCCCGTTACGAAAACTCTGTATAACAAAAGAATATTACCATTTACTCTAGAACTAGTTATTTGTATCAACAGACGATTCGATTCTGCCGCGAGAAAGCAGGCTTCTGCCATTCATCGAATAGTGTTCACATCATAAATAGCGCACCGGAGCTACTAGGTCTTTCGAGACGTCTATTGCTGTCTTCCTGGTCCCACCGAGACAGTAAACAAGTAAAAGCACAATCGCATCGCTTTTATTCAACCTTTTCATCTGTGCAATCCGCCAGAGGAATCACTGTCTCGTTTTGAGTGGGATGGGCCAATATGTGCACCTCCGGGTTAAGATCAAGCTTAGGGCCCTGTTCTTGATAGTTCGGACAAGATGACGCTTTTTGAAGAGTTATGCAATGTCGTAACGACTTTGACAAAACCAGCCTGTGTTCTTGCTATCGTGGATTGAGAAAAGGCAGGTTGGTATCCTGACTTTTGCGAATATTGTAAGGCCTTCCTTGCTTGTATAAAATTTCATGGCACAAAGACTGGATTGATATGTTTCTGGAACCCGGAATGAACAAATACTGGCCGCTTTCGGGAGTATATCACGGCGATAGGGGGCTTTTTGAGCGAGTTTTCTTTTTCTCTGAATTTTCTTGATGGGAATGCAACTCGTAATAGTAGATTAATGGACTTGGAGAACATGGAATTTAAGCGCCTGTGAGTGCACGTGGAATAGGGCCTATTTTTTTTTTTTTTTCTTACTAAGGCTAAATCTCCATTGCCGTCTCTATAGAGAACATACGAGTTCGAAATAATTTAACGAAAAAGGGTATAAAGTAAATTTTGCAGTCTATGTAACTAACCCTATCTACTTATCCAATCTAGCTATCCAACCAAACCCTCCAACCCGAACCTAGAAAATTTTTTTTAAACTCCACCCCCCACTAACCCCCCTCGAAATAATAAAAAACAACATTGACCCTCCATACGCAACTCCCGCAAAGACAATCAACCCCGAATAATTCGTCTCGAGCTCAACATCTCCATTCTGCGCCTTTAAAATCTCTCCCGCGACAGGAATCGCAATCAGCGACCCAAAACTCACCAGCGAATACGTCGTCCCATACCTCTTCCCATACTCCTCCGTTTTAGAGATCTGTGCCACGCACACGGGTGCTAGACTGACCGCTGTTCCGCTCCAGAAACCGAAGAACGCCGCGAAGCTGACAATGGCGGACGCGTTGGTGCCGGATTTCAACCACAGGGCGAGGATCAGGACCGTGCAGGTGAAGGTTGTCACGATAATTACATTGAAGCGGCCCCATTGGTCTGCCATGTAGCCGGGGATCACGCGGCCGAAGATTGAGGCTGCGTTTAGGATGGCCATTAGTTGGTAGGAGAGGGAGCCGTCGACGTCGTGGGAGGTGGCGTAAGAGACTAGGTAGGTCATTGGGATGAGGTAGCCGATCTCGACAAGGACAATTGCGCCTGCGACTGTGGTTAGGCGTATATCGCACAGTGCGCGCAGGTCGATGGTGCTTCCACCTTCTTTGTTGGGTGGTAGTCTGGTTCGGAGAAGGAGAGTGGAGGCGGCGCAGAAGATGGCGCAGACAAAGCCCATGATACGGATTGCCCAGGGAAAGCCCACTTTCTCACTGAGGCCTCCTACCATAAGGGGGAAGATAATACCGCCAATGCTTCCGGCGGTGTTGGCGAAGCCGTTTGCTAAAGCTCTGCGGTGCAGAAACCAATGGTTGACGGCGGCGAGACTCGGGGTGAAGACCATCGATGCAGTGACCCCTCCTAACAAGCTAAAACCGAGAATGAATTGATAAAATTCTGTTAAAGTTAGCAAATGCGCTGATTTTGATATGGCATGCATTGCCTACCAGTAGAAATGCTCAGTATCATGAGCGATACCACGATCCCAATGCATCCTGGAATAAGCAAAGGCTTCAGCCCGTGGGCATCAAATATAGGCCCTGATCACAATATATCAGCACAGAGAACTGGCAGAATTTACATGAGCGCCAAACTGCGTCGGGATGATGGCGAAACAAGCATACCAACCTGAACGCCCCCTAGATAGAAGAAGAAAATCCATAGGCTAAAGATCCATGATACCGACGACTTGGGGTAATCTTTCAGTTGATGTTCAGACAACCACTCCTCAAGCACCGCTATAGTGTTAACGATCCCGAATGCAGGTACCAGCGCGCACCATGCACCCAGAACGACAAGCCATGCACGCCACCCGCCGTCTGGGTACTGATCGAACGATGGCGGATCTTCCGGTGGGCAGTTTGCCTCGTCATCGTCTCGTGGCTGTGGTAGAACATGGAGGTGAGTTTCTTCGTTCTTGGTATACATTATGACGCGACAAAACAAAGTCGTTTGTTGAGGTCCGTAGCCGTTCTCTGTGCAGGATTTCTTCGAGACATTCTCAGACTTTTGAACCATAATACCGTGATTGAATGCTGGTAAGGGATAATATCGTGTACCCACTGAACGGTGCACCCCCTTGCGAAAGTTATTGCGTGGCTGTATCGCAGAAGAGGGAGACATCAGAATCCCAGACAAGCATGTCCTACATCGCACTCACATGGAGACTCTGGATCTTTGGAAAGCAACGTTCACGCGCAGATCGATTGTAACAAGCTTTTCGACAGTCAATCGTCAGCACTTTTTGTGGGTCTCGCAAGAACGTTTCTAGAGCGTCTGGGTTAAGCCATGAATACCGTGCGTGGCATGCAGGAATTTCGCACTCAGTACTTCCACAACAAACTTCACCCTCGTACAAGCAGTGCTGATCCATATCACAAATTGACGACGACGTAATCAGAAACAGGGAAGACTTGTCGGAATTGTTTCTTCAGCGGAAGAATTCGTCATCCATTCCAATCCCGACTGACCACCATACAAATAATTCTCTCCAATCTCGCGCCAGAAAATCAAAAACATGGCATGCGCAAATCAGAAACCAAGCAGACACGGGACCTGCAGGTTGGCCGAAGCAGTCAATATCCCATGCAAATCGAGATGTCATAACAAGACGAGGTCCACATGTAGATCCGATAAGTATGCTTAGCGGTTGTACTGATCAGACCATTATCGATCGTTTCTCCTAGCGCTGGCGCCACTATAGGAGTAAGAACCACTTTTATCCATAGTATACCCACCTATGCACCTGAAAGAGTATGTATCAGATTCACAAGTTTTCAGGTATTGCGCAGCGATCACAGGATGGTTGAAACTCACAAGATCACCCTGAGAAACACATTATTGTCTATCATTGGATGATGCCGAAAGTTCCCGGGTCAAGCATTTTTGCTGAGGACAAGTACGGTAGCTGTTGGGTGGCTGTTTGGTGACTTGCTTCTGGTGGATCATAGCAGAGCAAATGTTGAATAAAACAGTATCGAAGGACTGAGATAATCCATAAATAGAAATCAACAACACCCAGCCCTACAACGATTTACCAAAACCCTAGAAAATACCAGACAAACCACGTGGCAACATAAATATGAATAACTTTTCCAAACCTAATCCAAGCATACCCAATATTTTCTATACACCCCTCAGCCATTCTCAATCCTAGCCTAATCAAACGGCTTCTCTTCAAACCCTTTTTCAACACCAAAATCCAAAAACCTCAACATCCCCGGTCCCAATCTCCTCCCTTTCACCAAAAACAACCTCCCTAACCCCCCTCCTTCATCGACTTGTTCGAAACAGTGACTGGGACATTTTTATCGGGCCCTAGAAGTCGCAAAACAGTCGGGTGCTTGTACTTGCTTAGCTTCTGGTCATTGAACGGGCGCCGACGAAGAGATCCAAGGTCTAGGTTCTGTGATGTGCTTCGATCTTGGTCTCTGGGGATGAACAATGATGCGACTCGCTGGTGGGTTACGGGGCCTGATATGCTGAGGACGATGGGTTGGAGGGTGAGGGAATGGGAGGGGAGTTCTGCCTCGACTTTGGGGGCGTAGATTTTTCCAGCCGTTGAGGCGGATTACTGTTTTTTGTTAGGATATTTTCGTAGGATTGGGGTGATGCGTTGGTTTACCATCTTGGAATGCTCGCCCAATCACGTAGACGACATCGTTTTCGAGTTTTAATATGTCTAGAGAAACAATAGTATGTATTATTTTCAGAGTGAATGTATAAAGAAAAGCCAATGCCAGAATTCTTGCTTCTGTATGAGTATCAAACGGCCAAACACAATAAACAAGAAGCAGGATACACCTTTTGATGCAATGCAACCAATCCCATGGGATATCAGACCAAAAGAATAAGGCAAAATGACCCTCCCGGAGCACGGCCGATCCAAAACGCCATTCGCAATGCATGTACACCTAATTTCATCAACCAATCTCAACCCAAAAGGACAGTAGAAGAACAGCAATCTAACACATCGTATCCTCCAGTTTAAGCCTATCAATGTCTGGTATTACCCCGCGCAGTCCTCGGATTTCGACTGCGGCTGACTGCCGGTACAGGTGTCTCGTCAGCTTCTTCTATCGGACTGCTGATCGCCCTTAGATTTCTCGATCGTCCACCCCGTACACGACTCAGTGCTTGCTGCAGTAGACCGTCGGCCTCTTCATCCAGTTCCATTTCGACCTTATCCTCCATTGATTCGGATGCTGCAACGGATGGTTCGGCCTGGGAAACCTCGTCGGTCCAATCCTCGGAAAGTTGGTCGTGCGATACCCCTCGCCGCCTCACGGTTTCTGCGGACGCAAGTCTTTCCTTTCCTTTAGCACGTGAGCCGGAGCTCCGGCTAGCTGGGGCTCTCGTCATTTCTTGTCTTGTTAATGCTTCATCCTTTGCATGATTATCCAATGCCCATATCTCAAGAGCGCGAGAAAGGAGCGTTCCAGCAACGCCAGCGCCGCCAGCTGCATCCCCGCCACCGCTGGCTCCTAGAACACGGACCGCCTCGTGAAGTGTCGTCACGGCCTCCATCGTACGCCCAAGTTCCAACAAGACCAATCCGCGAGAGGTATATAGCGAGCCAATTAGTCCACGATCCTCGTATCCCCCAACACCTGATGACGATACACCAGAAGTACTACCACCATTGCCACCCAAAAACGGAGTGTAACCCATGCTTGCACCTCCTGCCCCAATGCGGAGGCACTCGTCAAACTCGCCCAGAGCTTCTGTATTGCGTTGAAGACGACGTAGTGCATGACCAAGGTTTGCTCGAGTGGCTACCCAGGCTCCTGGTTCGCAGTGAAGGGACTTGGCCAGGGCGAGCGACTGCCGGAACAGCTCAACGGCCCCTTCGAGTTCATCTTGGTGATACAAAACAACACCTAGCTCGTTTAGAACCAACGGATCACCACCCAACGAAGCTGACCCATTAGTTGGATTTACAGGGATAGATGAAACTGATCCGGATGCAGCACCTGTCGACATGGCATAGGCGGCGCAGAGATATTCGTGGGCCAGGGACATGTTGTTCAAAGCTAGATGCTGCATTCCAAGGAACAACTGTGGCAAGTGACTGCCTTGGAATAACCGAGCAGCTGTACTGTATGCGGCAATAGCTTGGTCATGTTCCCCTTCCGCAGCAAAAGTGTGCGCGAAGCCGATCCACGCCGGTGCTGAATGCGGGTCGAGTAGAGATGATTTGGAGAAAAAGCGTCGTGCTTCCGCAACTTTGGATACGGACAAGTAGTAAACACCGATGGCTAGATAAGTATATGATTCCTCCGGAGCGTAGTCAGCCAACGTATGAGCGAGAAGGAACAACGCATTTGTAGCACCCGTTTCATATAAGCAGGCGAGATGCAACGGGTAGACTGCTGGAGGATGCCCTAGATGGTTCTGAGCTGGTAGGTTTGACGCAGCAATCACTGTTGTTGATGAGCCCGGAGTCGATTGTGGAGTTGACAAAACAGAGGAAGTTAGCTCGAGAGCTTCTGCAAACCGGCACTGCGTATAGAGAGCTTCCGCTCGCGACAGAAGTATATCCGGATTTTCAGCGAGATTATAGTGAGTCGACAGCGTCTCCGTAGAATCTGTAAGAATAGCTGGGGACGTATACTTGGACAAACGAGTAGTATAAAGCATCTTGGTAAAGTGAGCCGCTTCCTGAGCTAACGACGGATCTGGCCCAGATATCGTGTCGAAATCAAGAGACTCAAGAAACTCAAGCTCTTCCGCTGGCGACATGAGCGAGTTCTTCATCAACTGATCGAAAGCCTCGAAGCACTGCACATCGATGCGCACAGCGTCCTTGTAGCAGTCACGGGCACGGTCAAAAGCATTCTGCTTAGCAAAACACAGTCCCCGCAGGTAACACATGGCCGCCTCAAAGCGGATATTGTTTGCATCCTCGCGTTCCCGGTCCTCGCCGCGTTCACCACGTGAGGCAGCTGACTTGCCATTGCGCAGGGTAACATGGCTCTGGCCATTGAGGTGTTGTATCTTGCGACGGCTAGTGGTATTGCGAATCAAGTGGGTTGGGTTATGGTCGCCCAGTACTGATAATGCTTGTTCAAATTGGTTCTGTTTGATATGGCAGTGGGCAGCGAGATAACGGCAGGCGGTGCTTCTTGAGATGAGGTCTTTCCGGGACAGGAGGGCCAAGGCTCGCGTGTAGTTGTTGTTGGAGAAGTGGACTTGGGCTAACCAGAAGGCATCGGAGTCGCTATCTGCTCAGTGACAAAGACTGTTAGTGTCCAATCCCTATGCGACTGTATGTATTCCGATCACTCACTGGTCAACGCAAGCACTTTGTCGCCGATGTAGATGGCCGCATCATGTTGCCCACGGTTCAACGCATCCTGACGCCAGGAGCGCAGGAATTTCTCCATGGCCAATTGCTAGACTCGACAACACAAAAAAAAAAAAAAAAAAAAAACCCAATTGTCAAGTGTTCGCGATTGTAGGCATGAGGAGGGGCAGAAGCGACGGAGACCGGTAGGAAACAGCTTCCCTCGTTGACGCGAAGACGAGCCTTCGCACTGCTGTTTTCTGAGGGAGACAGTAAAGGACAATTAACGAACTGTAACAAATATGAGATAAAAGCTCGTCGTGTTGTCCTCGCCGGTTGTCTGTCGCAGCAACGAAAAGACAAACAAATACGCTGCTTATTTTGTCGCTCCGAACGGCGCGTCGAATTGGCACGTGCACGCTTCCTCATCGGGAAACTGCCTTTGACAGTCGGGCAGGAACAGGTACGGTAGTCGCAAAACTGATATAGTTATTTGAGTGCCGAATGCTAGGATTCATGTACTATAATGGGATGCATGTCAGGACTCAATTTATCTTTTAATCTTACGTTGAATGTAAGCATGAACGCCATTTATAGCTGAGGCGAGATACATTTATTTATCACGTGACTTTATCGCCAACACCGATCTCCGTCGCAAAGTCGCCATCAACAACTACAACACCAGCATCCAACCTCTATTTTCAGTCTCCATACTAAAACAACACACCCGCCATGTCTGAACGGAAAGTTCTCACCAAGTACTACCCCCCGGACTTCGACCCGTCCGCGATCACCCGCAAGCCGAAGCACTTGCGTTCAACGGGCCCGAAAGTCATCACCGTCCGATTGATGGCGCCCTTCTCAATGAAATGTACCTCATGTGGTGAGTCCCATTCCTCTCCCCCATCCACTCCCTCCTACTCTTTCCCCTCCCCCTTTTCATGCTCAAATTAAAATGTTAACATGGATTGCAGGCGAATATATCTACAAAGGCCGCAAATTCAACGCGCGCAAAGAAACCACCGAAGAAAAATACCTCGCCATCCCTGTCTTCCGCTTCTACATCCGCTGCACTCGCTGCTCCGGCGAAATCACATTCAAAACAGACCCCAAGAACATGGACTACACGTGCGAGCGCGGCGCAAAGCGGAACTTCGAGCCCTGGCGGGACGCCAAGGCGGAGAATTACCATGAGACGGAGGAGGAGACGCTGAATCGCTTGGAAAGGGAAGAGAATGAGGAGCATGAGCGTGAGGAGAGGGATAAGATGGCGGAGTTGGAGTCGAAGATGTTGGATTCGAAGAGGGAGATGGCAATTGCGGATGCGTTGGATGAGATTCGGACGAGGAATGCGAGAATTGAGAGGAATGAGGCGATTGGGGATGAGACAGCGATAGCGCAGGTTAGGGATGTTGTGGATGAGGCGAAGGCGAAGGAGGAGAGGGAGATTGAGGAGGCTGCGAGAAAGGCTTTTATGACGGAGTCGGGGGAGAAGGTCAAGCGGATTGTCGAGGAGGATGGGCCATCGACGAGTACCGCTGCTCCGGAGAAGAAGCCGGATATGCCTCCACCTTCGTTTGCAAGAGTCAAAAAGCCAAAGAAGCCTTTGGCAAACAGTCTCGGGATTAAGAAGAAGCAATCCCTTGTATAGACTCACACCCCCCTCACCATGTTTATGGTACTTAATGTTTGGCATTTGGCGTTTGGTACAGGGCATGCATTTACAGCACTGAGTTACAGAATCAAGCAACCATGAATAATAAGATTTATGGTATTATTTACTGTACATCAACCGGAGTCAAAAAACAAATGGCTAGATTGAATACAGGACGCGAATAAGACAATAAAGATATCCATAACCAATATCCTCATAAGCAAAATCACCCAGCGCCGTAAAAATAAGGACATTCATCAGATGGCTAAAAATTCGAAAATGCAAATAAAACGCCTCATAAGCAGTACAGAAAATTGGAATACGAGAAACATAAAAGAAGCGCAGATTACAGGTATGGCATCCACAAGGCATCACAAGTCGCCAGATGTTGCGGGTTCACAGCCTTCGAAATTAAATCAATCGTAGTCTGGTTCGCAGGCAAGTTGCCCTCAGGCGGACTGGCCAAGCTAACGGCGCGATTAACGATGATCTCACTGTTGTTGTAGACCAAGTCCCGAAGCTGCGGCACGGGAAGCACACCGCGATGCTGCGCTGTGGCCCAGTACATCATCTCGTCACGGACGAAGATGCTCAGTTGCTGCTCCAGTTCGTGGCGTGGCTCTGTCAGGCAGCGCGCAATTGCCATCATGGCACAGGCGAAGACACCTTCGGTGGCAATCGGGCCCAACAATGTCTGGATGTTGGGGGTGAAGCGGAAAGGAACTTGTTCGGGGTTGTAGAAGAAGGCCTTGGCCGGGTTAATAGTGGGAATCAACTCAGAACCCCAGATGTCACCGGTTGAGCGCGAGATCATGATCTTGTTAGGGTACCTGTTGCCCATGTGCATCACATATGTCATGAACGCAATAGCAGCATACTGGAAGGCAAATTGACGACGGAAGAGCCAGAAATCGGAAAAGTTGGGGTACATTTGCTGGAAGAAGTCCAGCACCACGTTACTGGGAACCCACTTCTCTTGAATGGCCGTGAGGATTTCGGTGCGCAAGATTTGTTGTTGATCGGCATTGCGCTGGAAAGTGTTAGTCACGTTATACCCTAGTATGAGAGGAACAATACTCACGTTTTGCTTTGTCTCTGCCAACGACCTCAACTTTTCCATAGTAAACAGCACTGGCTCATCCTTATTGATGCCAACACGACGACAGTAATCTTCGTAGATACCCTGCATTGAGATATACGACGGATCATCGCGAACCAGCCGGATATGAGGAGCCAAAGGAACCATAAGCGGAAGGTGGAAGTACAAGTTGCGTCGCCGACTTTCCGTACGTTTACCAAGCAGTCCGTTCAAGATACGGAAAAATTGCAAGATCCGCTCTTCGCGACGACAGTGACGAGCCGCAGGATGCTGCACAGCGAATGGATGAATACTACCATCATGGCCGCGAATCTTGAGACGACGATGACAGACACCAATGCCGCGCACCAGGTCGATGTCCGGTAAGAAACGATCAATGCGGACGAAATCCTGGTTCTTGTCCTTATGCAACAAGTACTGGCCCGGTATTTCAACCTCGTCAAATTTGAGGAATCGGAATTCGCTGAGATGCGGCGAGTAGCTCTCCAGGAACTGGAACTGAGGTCGCCGGTCGAGTTTCTCTTCGAACTTGTCACGCCAGCGACGCAATTTCTGGATGTACTCATACATGGTCGGCTTCTTGACCACAAAGTCAACCTCGAACGACTTGCGGATATGCGCGGGCAAGATGGTCTCGGCAAATCGCGTGATGTTGGCTTCGGTCGCGGGAGGCAGCTTGAAATCTTGAGCATATGATCCAGGCATGCGGCCAACATACGCCAGACCATCATTGAGAAGAGCGACGATAAGACGGTATGCATCCTCGTCGGGCGGGCACTTGAAGTTCTTGTGGATCTGATCGACCATAGTCTCCATCGATAGCGCAAGCAATGGGAAAGCAGTCTTGAGACCAGACATGATCTCATCGGAATACTCCCACGGCTTCTTGAGCGGCTCCTTCTCTGGCTCTACAACAGTACCTTGGTTCTGCGGCTGCGCGCCATTTTGTCCAGGAACCGACGGCTGCTGGAACTGCTGCTGCTGCTGCTGCTGTTGTTGTTGTTGTTGTCCCGGAACCGGAGGCTGACCCGGGATACCTTGAGGAGGCTGCATCTGGCCTGGGTTCGGAGTCGATTGTGGCTGGCTTTGTTGCGGCAATTGTTGTTGAGGTTGAGCCGGGCTCTGCGATGGCTGTTTGGCCATCGGTTGACCGTTCACAACCGGACTGGCGTTGGCACTCGGATTCGAAGTTTGCGCGGGAGATCCATTCACATTGCCATTGGGAGGTTTGGTTTGTGGCGAGCCTTGCGACTGTCCCTGCTGCTGCTGTTGTGCCTGTCTGACACGGTTCAACTTCTCCTGCTTTTGATCATGCTGCTTCTTGATACTGAGCATGTCCTCTCTGTTCGTCCGAAGCAAGAAGAAAAGCGCCTGCGGGTACAATTTGGCAATCTTGACGAGAACAGCCTTGCAAAGACGTGCCTCACGATGCGACAAGCTAGTAAGCAGTTGCGGGATAAACGTAATCCAGTACCAAACCGGCGTGTCTCCCTTGAAATTCTCAAACGCACTAGCAACACGTCCTTCCTCGTCATCCAAGCTCAGAATCCAAAGAATCCGACTGAGCAACTTCCTCGACTTGGCGTTCTTGTAGAGACCAGCAGCCTCCAAGTAACAGCTCACAGCGTTACTCGCCAGCTCGTAGTCCTTGGGATCGGCCTTGAACCGATGGTCACTGTACTGACCCCATTCAGACCACGCCTTCGCAAGTCGCAAATCGTAGTACAGAGCAACACCAAACGCCTCGTTCGCGTCCTTGACCGACTTCAACTTGGCTAAGAACATACCCTTGAGAGTGTAGAACTCCGCCTTCTGCTGAGCCCCGAAATAGTTCAGGTTGGTGTTGTTGATGACGTCCAGACCACTGGTAAGCTCCTTCTGGTTCTGATAGTGGCACTTCGCCTGCTCGCGCAACTTCAAGAATGCTTCTTGAATTTCAATGTTCGGCAACGTGTAGATGCGACTCAGCTGATTGATACACACCTCGGGCATCTGGTGCTTGCGAGCCACATGCGCGAAACGGTTGATGATCCATGCCGTCTCGTGGTAACCCCGGTAAGCGTACGAGTTGCTGGCGACATTGTTCGTCTGCGGTGGCAACAACCCAAGGTAAGTAGCGTTGATAAGTTGGAAGATATGCTGGCGCCACGTAACAAGGTCCTGCCAAGCATTGATGTCGTCCCAGAGGTTGGGAAGTCGGTCTCTCCACGTTCCCAGCAAGAGCTTCAATTCGGCAGACTTAGTATCCAAGTTCCGCTCATTCGTCTGCGACAAACTAGAACAGATATGACTTGCATCATGCAACTCAACGAGAAGCTGGAAGTGCTGCAAAATAGGAATGTGGGCGTTGGTAATCCGTTTAGGTAACTGAAGCCACTTCCGAATTGACAACTGAATCGACTCGTCACAAATACCGTTGAACTCCTGTATGTTCTCCTTCTTGAGATGGTACTGAAGTAACGCCATAAACGCATGGAAGAACGTGCGACGAGGCGTTGGCGCATCCGAAACTGATTTGATCAGAGACTCAAGCTGCTCCCGGTTATTTTCGCTCTGCCAGTTCTCGACATTCCTCCAAGCAGCCTCCAGAAGAAGATCGTTCAAGTTTTCGTGCTTGGCGAAATCACTCAGAATCTCCCATTGCTGAAGTTTCTGAGCGCAAATCAACCAGTGGTCTTCCCACAGGAAGTACTCGCCCTGCGAAAAGGGCATGGCTCCAGAGCGGGCCTTAATCTGCGCATTTTCGTATAATTGCTGCGCTTTGTCCCACATGCCTTGCTGCTCGTATGAAATGGCGGCATTGGTTTCAACGAACTTGCAACGACGCCGCCACGTACCGTAGAAGAAGTCGTCCTCTTGCAACCCTGCGTAGACTTCCACAAGAGCATCCAAGTTGCTTTCGCGGACGGTTGGTGTGTCGATTATCGGACTAATGGCAGTCTCCTCCAGGTACGTCGCAGCAGTGTACCAAGCATCATACGTGCGACTGAGATACTTCATGACATGAGGGGGAATTTTGAACCGTGGCCGGGCCCGAACCGCCCCTTCGAGCAGGGCTTGCACGACGTTTGGTCGCTTGTCGAGCTGTCGCTGGTGATATTCACGCGTAATCAAAGGAACCATCCCCTTCTCAAGATCGATCCGGTCATCCTTGGACAATGTCGACCAGACAACCGTAAACAACGTCGTCCACAGCTTCTGGGATACCGCGGGGTCGGTATGTTGAAGTTGACACAAAGGCTCGAGCAGATCTCGGACCTTCACATCACCAATCTCCGCCAAGAATCGTCTGCGGTCAGAAACAAAGGCCTCCAACGAACTATCAACCATAACATCCGATTTTCTGGTATCCTTCTCCGAGCTGCTAAAAAGGAAAGTCACAGGCGAAACAGTAAAATCATCCGGATGCAGCCTCGCAGAAGTCGTCATATCGATACATCCCAAAACGAGATGCGACGCCTGTGCCAGCCAAAACGAATCCGCAAGCGTATCCCAATTCTGGCAAGTCATCACATAACTCAGTCGCGAACTGGCAAGACGCGTCAAACTGCGATCGAAGATATTCATGAACCGATTCCGCATCTCAACGTCCTGCGCCCTGGTACCGATCAAGAACGCATGCTCCAGCCTGACCGTCAATTCAGTCCTCGTGATCTTAGAATCTTCATAAATCCGAATAACAAGGTCCAAGAACTTCTTCAACATAGTCTGATCAGACCTCGTCTCAAAAAGCAACATTTTGTGCAAAACAGCCGTCTTCTCCTTCAACGTTGGCCACGACTCAGTAGAATGGAAGATCCAAGTTTCCACCATTCCAAGCACCTTGCTGCAAAGCTTGACATTTTGCGATCGCTCCACCAGTTGTGCCAACACACTAAGGAACGGACGCCGCTGCTCACCAAGATGCGACATGCGCACTGAGATCAGTTCAATTGTCTTGAAAATGAGGTCGACACCAATCTCAAACTCCTGTTGATCAGGCACCCCCTCACCAGGCTTGACACCCAGTGGATATTGACCCTGACTGTTAGCAGTGGCCGCAACATGCTCCTTAGCGAGTTTCTGGGAGAACGCCTTCATAACCTGCGGAATATGCACATCCATCTCA